AAGAACAGTGCATAAGGTCTCTGCTTCTCAACTCTGCTGTAAATCTAAAAAGGTCTCTCAAGAATGTAGCCATGGTTTTGTTATATTTATGAATGAGTGAACTGGGTTCAGTGAAATGATTCGGCTATACCTCCTGTTTTGTGCATGCAGTAATTTTCCTTGGGCACATGTGTGCACAGCAACACACATCTGTGGCCCCCAGTGTCACAGACACAATGTCACAGACACTTAAACCAAAAGCAAAAAAAATAATTAAATTAAAAAAAACACACAAACAAAGAAAAATCCCACCTTTCAAATAAACATGTGCTCTTGCTACCAAACTGGTGACAATTTGTCAGCCATAAGTTATCAATGTGTGTAAATGTGTGTGTGTGTGTCTATTCATCCCCCCAAGCAGTTTGCTTTAATCTGCTTTAATTTCATTCTCAATCTTTATGGAAATTAACTCACAGCCAACTCCTCATTTCACCATCTCCCTTACTAATTAAGACTAGGAAATTGTTCCTGGAATTGCCTGGCATAAAAGAAGTGTCTCATGCCTCAATCACTTCCCCTTTTTTCTTCTTATGTCTACAGTAGTTTTATTTATTAATTTATTTATTTGCACATTTGAAGGCACGTATGAAAGTCTATTTATTTGCACCACTGTGAACATCATACCATGTGTGCTGTTGTCCTGTCTGCATGTGTGCTGTGCCAGCTTGTTTGTCCTTGTCTCCAGTGTCTATTATTTGCCATAGTATCTCTGTGCCTCTGTCTTTCTTTGTCTTTCACTATTTGTTCCTCTACGTGTGTGTCTGTGTTGTGTGGGTAGCCATGTGGTGGATTTAGGGCTAAAGCTTTGGGTGATTACTCCCATAATGAACCATCATGCTCTGTTCAGGCTGTCATCCCCCACAGGGACTTGACTGTATTGTGAAGTTATCATTCAGCCCCAACAATACTCTGTGTCCTCACATAACTCTCTTCACTGATATGACTCTAAGCATGAAATCTGATTTGATTCATATCACATGAAAGTAAACCTCACTGTGTGGTTGGGATAAAATCACATAGTTATAGGTTACTACCTATATTAGTGTACATCGGAGTAATAGCATGTTCACCGCTAATGCCTTGTTCATATATTTGGACTTGAATGACTGACCTGCCACAGGACCTGGGCGATGTATCTGACCCTTCCGTTGTGTTGATCTAGTATTTGCTGAAGGCTCATCAGAATTGGAAGGGTGGGGTTCAAGAAGAGAAACAAAAAAAAAAGGCTGAAGAACTGCACTGAAAATCAGTCGTACTGGGGGTCTTGTCCAAATTGGTGGAACTTTAAACACAAAAAAGTTTGGTTAGATTTTGATCCACCATGCAGTACCATCTGGAAAGTGTCTGATTGGCAACAGCTCCATTTTTCAGCATGACAATGATCTCAAAACACAGTGCCACTGCAGTGAAAGCATACCTGGATAGAAAAGCACACAGTGGAATAGAGTCAGTCATGAATTGGCTTCCCCAGAGCCCAGACCTCAACATTATTGAAGCAGTGTGTGATCATCTTGACAGAGAATTGAACAAAAGGCATCCAACATCTAAAAAAGAGCTTTTAATGTCATTCAAGAAGCCTGGAGAACTATTCCTGAAGACTGTACTTAAATAAATTACACGAAAGCTTTCCTCAGGCTCAGTTGAAGAATAAAAGTGGTCATACCAAATGTGGACGTTCAAGTTCGTTAGAATTGTACAAAGTCTTTTTCTGCATTATATACTGTATTTCTATTTATTTTTTCATATCAAAAAAAGGTGTATGTGTTTGTGAGAGAGAAAGTGTGAGAACAGCATATGAAACTTGTCCTTTCATTCCTCACGTAACTAATGGGCTAAACACAGTTTGATCAGCACCCTGGTCTCATGCTCAAACACTTGGCTTTATATGAATACAGACGAGAAGGATTAATGATTCTGAATTCAAGAGATCAAAAATGATAAACAAGTACTTTAACTCTTAGAGGGGACATTTTGTGCCATTTCGGTTTTTTGTATTTTTTATTTTCATGCTTTGGCCGCGGAATGAATATAGCTTATATTTGCCAGAGGACATTATTAAAAAAAAAATAATTCACAACTGTTTTGTCTGTTCCTTAAATTAGCTTAAAATGGCTGTACAAAAACAGCCACATTTTATCCTGAGGCCAAAAAATGCCCCATTGAAAATCATTACAAGTCATGCAATTTTTGATCCCACATCTTGACATGATTGTTGATGGTATTATTGCTCAGGTGATTTATGCAGCCATGGTTAGAAGTATGAGTTTTTTTGGGATTTGGTAAAAACACTGGAGGCTCTGGACATGAGACGCCATCTTTACACTATGTAAAGATGGCGAGGAGGTCTCAGAGGTAGAATCAGACCAGCCGGAGTCCAACTCTGACTCATCTGATGCTGAGAGTGGAGAGGAGATGGTTGAAGTAGTGACAGAGCGGACTTCTCCTTCTCCATTTTTTTTGTCATCCCCATATTTTGGTCTCCCACAAAGACTGGAATGCACTGTTATGTCCCAGCAGCCAGAGGTTTGATCCCAGGACTTGCGCACCATGCCACCAGCTATGTGCTGGTGCTGATAGATGTATCAATGTATATTTCAGGCTGAAGCAGTTTTAAAAGACTGAGTCATTTAAAGTGAAAAAAATATGACTATATAATATGTTTAAAGAAGTCTTTGAAAAGTTGGCATTTTTCGTTCTTAGGGTTAAAAGAGTTGAGATTTTTAAGGCTCACCTAAGAGTTAAAAAGGCTTGCTCCCATTCATTTTCTTTTAAAGACATGTTTGAGTCATGAGAACAGAGACATAGTCAACGTTGGACTGATGATAAGGAGGTTTGGTGGATTACTGATTTTGTGAGAAATAAAGGACACAAATGAAGACTATACAGGGTGGTTTCATTTTTATTGGATGAGTTAATTAAGGCAACGTGGACATGAAAAAGACTTCAGACCAAGCAGATGGTTTTGGTGTTTAAAAAAAGGGACAGTCTTGCTATTGCTGCCAACTTTTTTGGCTCTCATCTTTCAGCTCCCACCTGCCATCCCAACTTCCACCTTCTCTTTCTCCCCCTCCCATTTTGCCTTCTCTTTCACTCCTCCACCTTCCATGTCTTTTTAGCCACTGTAAGGTGAATGCTCTGATGAAATACCCAGAGAGTGACTCAGAGTCGATTGGTTCAGCATTAAAAAAATGTCCTGTCTAGTGTGTGGCTGTGTGTGTCCACAAATGGTGTACCACTGCTGACGGATAAGGTGATTAAGAGTACACCTGGGAACCAGGAAAGCAAAAGTATTCAAGGTTAACACACATAGACGTACATACAACATGGACACACACGCACGCACACACACACACACACACTGCTCCGTCCTATGAAAGTTCTCTGTATGGTTTTAAAAAACTAAGGGCAGAGGACATATTAACTGCAAGTCTTTTTCCCCCAACCAACAAAGTGACTCTCAAACTTTTGAAAGTTAAAGAAAAGGTTTTTACCAGCTTGCCACAGCTAAATGAAGCCATGTTAGTAGTATTTAAAATATTATTAAAACACCAACATTACATTTCTCACTCCATTTTCTTAAGGTATGCAACAAAATAATCCATCACTCTGACTTGCTGAAATTATTTCAATTATTTAGACTATCATCCAGTTACAAATCTTGCTTTTATTTGCACTAAAGAGATGTGAATGTAAGTACTTTATTTAAAAAGTAATTTGCAGGAGAAAAAAAGCACATTGATGTTGCCATATTACACACTTTAGAAGTTACTGCACATCCAAAAGACTAGATGGAAAGATTAGTGGTCTCTTGCCTCATACTCCCACACCAACTCCATACATTCGTATGGAGAAATCCACTGCATTTGATCAGCACCATAAATAAAGTGACCTGCTAAGTCCTGCAATGCTGCCATCTATCTCGTGTTACAGCGTGCCTTTATGAGCCGTTTTCTGTGGCAGGCTAATTATTTTTACATGTGTTGAGCTCAACTTCGGGAAAGGGATACACGATTGCAGTATATCATAAGGCAGCAGACTAGGGAGGTGAGCAGAAAGGCAAACTGTACTTCCAATACATGAAACGAATCAGAGGGCAATGGTCAATTTAAAAAAAAACACACACACGCACAGACCAATATAGAAAAACTAGTGTTGGGTTTCCCAGAGCAGTGAGATTGTCTGAAAGTTCATAAAATTGTGTAACTCACTGTAAGAAATACAAGACCATAAAAAAGATCAAACATAAACTTTTAGTGTTTTTAATGTTTAATGTAAAGGATGCATTTTCTCTACCGTCCCCTTTGCCACAGTTCTGTTGTCCTGGTTCGTTGTCCTAAAGTCATCTACTCTGAGCTTTTTGGGTTTTTTTCCTTCTTCAAAATGAAAACGGCACAGTCCTTTCTGAAACATTCAGTGAAAGAACCAGCAGCACATTCCATGCTGCTTTGTAATGCTGTCATTTATAATGGCATGTGAACCATTAGCTTGAATCATTTATTGTCTTTGGCCTGTTGGAGATTCCTCAGCTTTCAGAAATCTGTATGGGAGGAAAGCAAGGTTAAACATTGTGCATTGCAGACTGGGTTTAATGTGTGAAGCTAAAGCGTTTGAAAGTATTCGGACCAGTGACTGTACTTGTTGCGTGTGTAAGTGTGTGGTTAGCTTTGTGCATCCTTGTGCAAACTAAGGTAACTAAGTGTTTTTTTCTTGTTGTGGACTGAAGAGTGTGAGAAGTCAGCTGATGTTTGCTGTCTTCAAACACCCCCACCTTCATAATTACTGTGTCATTATTAAGTCAAAATTAAGTAATGTCCCTGCTTTACACTGACAGAGCATTATCGCTAAAATGGTCTCCCTAACTGCTGAATCAGAGGAGGCTTTTTTGCCAGATGGCCTCGCATGATGTCTGGTTGACATTATAATTTGCCCCTAGGCATTAAGTTTCTTGTTTCTCTCCCCAGACCTGAAGAAGTCATTTGAACAAGAACCCCTGGGAAAAGAAGTATCTCTGGAGCAGGAAGTTCTGTTACAGTGTCGCCCTCCAGAGGGCATCCCAGCTGCTGAGGTATGTGCAGCGTAATCGCTAACTTCCACCTGAAGTGAATGTTAAGTAAGATGTGAGATTAGGAGGACTGCTAGAGCAGAACAAGGAAGTGACTGAAGAGAGGGGATGACAGAATGAAGACAACAATAGATGAAAAAGGTATAAAAATAGAAATCATCAAGTGGAAATAACTTTAAAGTGCCACTGAAAAGTCAGTTATTACTTACGTGACACTTCTTGAAATTGCCTGGAACTTTGAACGACAGACAGCAGAACTGAGTGGTTTGATGGGTGCGCGTGCTCCTTCACAGTCTGCAGTCGGTGGTTGAAGGCTGTGCTGAATAAAAATTTCTTGTGCCTTTTTGGCACATTTTGTTAAATTGATATTTTTTTACTATTACGAAGCCTAAATTTATAAGATTCAATATCTCCAAAACACAGCAGGGGTCAAGATAGCTTTCATTTGTAAATGTCTTCCATTGCAACTGGCATGGTGAATAAGCAGCGTTTAGTATTAAATGATTTGGTGTTTGTCATCCGACATGTTTGTATAAGATATTTTTTTGCGTTATCATGTCGAACTGCCACAGGGGAAATCAGGAGAACGGCCTAAATCCTAGTTTAACTGACAAGTTTCCGGTACGCCAAGGTAACAATAATCCCAAAACCTAAAGTTTAAGCTGAGAGTTAAGTGTCCCCAGAGAGCCAATTTGAGTACAGGATGTGAAAAAACTCCAGTGAATACAGAGGTTTAGTCTGTATTCCTGTACATTAGCATTTTTATTGCACGTTCTTTTACTGTACTTGAGTTCTGCGGGGGAAAAAAAGACTGAAAAATGGCCTGAATTCCTTTATTTGCACAGATACAATACAGGTTTTTTTTTTGCAGTAGTTTTCTTGGCTTTCTGAAGGTCTTTTAAAGATTTTTCTTTGGACGTTAGCTGTTTTGTCACTCAAAGCCTGGACCTCGACATTACTGAAGCAGTGTAGGACAGCCAGCAAACAAAACACTGCCAACACCCAACGAAAAGCTTTTGAATGTCCTTCATGAATTCCAGAGAAATATTCCTGAAGTTCCCAACTTTCAATGGAGGATGACTCATGACTTTTGCACAGTTCTGTATAATGTATATAGCAGTGAAACCTGGACCAAAGTAAATTCGGATTCAGTAAACAACAAATAAATTAGACGATCTTTAACACTTGCCGTGCTCAAGACCAGCTATTCTATGAATACGTGTATTGCTAACACACACACATACTCTTACTTGCCTTTACTATGTGAGATAATATTGTGAGACTCGAGGATATTGTCAGCACATGTGTAATTTATTCACTCATCAAACGTGTCACACAGTAAACACCCACTTTGGAAGAGCCACACATGTCACTTCCACTACCGTAGCGTTGTAACTACAGTGGAGAACACCATTTACAATTCACATCATTCTTTGCTTCCCTGGTTTCATCTGGCTGTGTTCCCACCTCAATGGATAAATACATAATTTCATTTAGTTGGTCACTGGGGAAGAGGAGCACGGCACTCGGAGAAGGCTGTTGTACAGGATAAGGAGTGTCTGAATCAGGTTTCAATCCTTGGGGTTTGATAGTCGTTTTCAATTGCAGCTAAGTACACAGCTCCCCTGAGAGAGAAACTGAAGGAGAGGGAGTGAGGGAGGCACTTAGACAGACCAGCATACAAAGTGAGGGCGAGTGTGGCAGAAAGGCAGAGATGAAGGACGGGTGTCAAGAGAGATAATGATAGAGAAATGAGTGGTATGGAAGAAAGAAAAAAAACAGAGTGATCGTATTCTTCTGCTCCTAGAAATGAGTAATTCTTCTTTTGAGGGAAATCAAGAAAATAAATTTGTTGAGTTGTCACTTTAACAGTAGGAACCACAAAGGACATTTAAACATGAAGGCCCTTTCCACTCATTGTAGCTGACAGCAACACCAGCACATTAACATTGACAACTTTCTTCTTGGTAACCAAGCTCATCTCTAATGACACACGAGTACCCCTACCTTATCTGCATGTCATAGCACATTTTATCTTTTGACACCTAACACAACACATTCATGCACAGAGGCATACACTCATAAATCTCATGGCCACACACACACAATACACACACGTGGACTCTTGAAGCAATTTTTCCACTGTGTTCAATTTGCTACCTTTTCCCATTCTTTTTTCTGCTGTCATAATGGGATCTTGGAGCAAATGGATTGGTCTGTCTCCCCTGTCTGCTGAAGCTGATTAGAAGGATTTAGGTTTAAAACCTGCTGATGACCTCAGGTTGTAGCCCTGACTTTCTTTTTTTATCTTTTTTATCTGTTCTGACTTTCTATTCGTCTTTGTTCGTATCCTCTTTGCCATTCACATTCGCCATGTCCTCTTTTGCCTGTCAAATTCTTATATACATACATCCACAATTTTTTCCCTTTAAGTGACAGTTCTTGTTACTGATGTCCTGTGACCTCTCTAAAAATGTTTTAATATAAGTTGACAACTGCTGTAAAGTTGTCAGTGCGACGGGGTTACGTGATAGCCACATTTTAACGCCCAGCTGGTATTGCATGGCTGTCAACATGCAGGACCCGACTCCTTGACCTTCCCCCACTCAAAATAAACTCAAATTTAACATTAATATTCATCAAGTCAGTACATGATTATATAGAGAGTCACCTAAACATTAGGACAAATATGTGTGCAGATACAGCATTGGAATGCACACACACAAAGTATTATGGGACATATACGAAGAAAGAGATTAGCCAGTGATCATTTTAACTGCTGCCTGACGGCTAGCCTTGAGAGGTCAGGGTCAACCTAATCTGAGAGTGGAAAGAAAATGTCTGTACACCGCTGCGCTATTACAACCTTTTCACATTTCTCTGACAGTACTGCTCTTGTCAACAGTTAGTCTCCTCTACATGTTTTTTTCTCCTCTCTTTCACTCTAAAGCTCCCATTTGAAGCATTGTGAATTCCTTGAGACACATCTAAATCTCTTTAGACTGTGATAGAAAGCCTTTAAAAGCTGATGGAAAGCTACTGGAATCAGCGAGGAGGGTTCAGCAGTTCAACAGGAAAGGCTTTACGGACACAGACAGTAAATTCAGGAAAATCGTAACAGGTGCAGCACAAGGTTCAATGAAAAGCGCTTCCAGTGTAATTCACATTTTTCTGTATCTAAAACTAGAGCGTGGAGTCATCAGCAAAGTTTCTTGCTGGTGAAATTAAGCAGCTATTTCAAATAAAAACCTGAGGCACTGAGTGGTTCATACAAAGGTTTTTCGCAGAGGTCGTTGTCTTGAAACATGAAAGGGTTGGAGTGACCCCAAAGGCCAGGCAAAGCCAGTTGACTGCACATAGCAGGTGGGGATATGAATTAGTGTGTGTGTGTGAATATTTGTGTGTTTGCCTGTCTGCGTCTGTCTCAGTGTGAGTGATTACCCCAGCTGCAGTGAAATAAACACATCAGTGTGTGGTGACAGGCCCTCCATGTGTCCATCCCTAACACACACACACACACATACACATACATATGTGCACACAAACACACACACACACACGTCAGACAGTAACTGTATATGCTTTTGGAGCATTGTCAAATTCCCATCACATTCTTAACCACTCAATCTGCACCCTAAATAAGTCAGAGCTATTCACAGGGATAATAGCTTACCACCTACCTCTGCATTTGTGGGTGTAACTTTTTACCTTGCAGAAAATAATTTATGAATAAAGTTGTCAATTTAAATTTTCACTGAGATTTTATTAAATAAAATATTGTGCTGCATTTACATCAACCATATATTCCATTACCTTGTTTATTTATTTACTGTTCACTATGGCATCGTGGGGCATTATTTACCCTCTTCCATGACATTTGAATTCAAGCTCCATATCATGCCAAAGTTCTCCCTACTAAAGTGTCCTTGAGCAAAATACACAGACAGCTGGCATCACCCAGGTTGTTGTTTTAGCTTATCACAGCCAGCAACAGAAAGGAGACGTTTTACCTTCAGGCATAACCTACTCCTTCCCGAGAGGTAGCTGGGACATTCGTGGTATACAGATGTGTTTGTGTGAAACCAGAAGGCAAAGCTTTCACACACATATATGCATACACACACACACGACGCACACAAACACACAGGCATCTGGTTCCTAACTTCTTTTGCAATGACCGTCAATGTCGTTTTTTTTTTTGGGGGGGGGTTTGTGAAGGACTTGCTGCGTTAACCAATGTGGAATAACTCTAGACATGCATTTGTGCAATAACCCGTCTGTGTGTGTGTGTGTGTGTGTGTGTGTGTGTGTGTGTGTGTGTGTGTATGCGTGCACGGTGTGTAACTTTGTGACATAAATCACAGCAGACTTTTCTGTCAGAAGGCATCAGTGGCGTGGTGTGGCCAAAATGCTTATGGCTACCTCATTCTCACACTCGTACTGTACACAGACACAAGTCCATTTCGGGCCCCGCAGTGGCCATTTGTTAACGTGTCACATGATGACGTTTACTAGCAGAATCTTTCCCGAGGTTATAGCTGTGGTGTTGGTGGAGTGCTTTTAAATGGACAGAGAAGGTGACAGTGTGAAATAAGACATGCTCTTATCCTGTCCAGAGGTGGAAGATCTCTTTTCCTTTTGCTTTCTTGATGTCATTCTGGGGCCTTTTTTTTACCTAAATGGTGCAAGATCAACTCTTTGTAAGCTATGACTAAGTCTAAAAATGAATTTATCAGTAAAATATCCCTGCTTCTTGCATCAGATTGTCCATGAAAATGAATTTATACAGCGATTCATGCTGTAATATGTAATAGAGAAATAAAAGCAGACATGACTGGCACTTTTTACTTGTGTATTTTTTGATTAATAGCATTGGATGAACATGACATTTCCTTACATTAAAAAAAAAAGAAGAAGAAAAAATGACCTGACCACTATACCAGAACAATGAAAGTCATTTTCATTGTGGCTGTTCTCTGGGGAAACACGTGTGCATGACAGAC